AATGCCAATTAACTTCTTTGGCTCAAGTTGCCCTTCAAAATCGTAGAGCCCTTGATCTTATTACTGCTGAAAAGGGGGGAACTTGCCTTTTCTTACAGGAGGAATGCTGCTTTTACATCAATGAATCAGGATTGGTGGAGCAAAATATACAGACCCTGCAGACCATCAGTTACAAGCTGCATAATTTTTATCAAAGTCCTTCTACGTGGCTGGATTCCCCTTTCCTTTCTTGGATTCCCTCCATGATTCCATCCCTCATCATCCTCTTACTTCTTCTTACACTAGGGCCATTGTTAGTAAAATGGCTTTGGTCTTTATTAAGCAGCAGATAGAGGTTCTCCATGTGGCTAAACCAATACAGGTCCTTTACCATTGCCTTGATCTTATGGATCATGAGTTGATAGGGACACATTGCTATGATGGCACCACTAGCCATCCCCCTTGAGAGATGAACTGGACAGTCAAAGACGGGTACGTGAGAATCCCCCCTTGTTGCAACCTAAGACAGGAGGGTAGTCTGATGTTACTGCCTTATCCAATGACGGGTAAGCACTTGGGGAAGGATTCTCCAACCTAAGACAGGCGCAGTTCCCTAAGGGTATAGCACTCACGATCCCTGCATTCTATTAATTAAAAAGAAAAGGGGGACCTGTTGGGAGCCGTCTCAGTATATTGGGAGACTGAGTCTTAGGCATCCAAGAAGGTTAGTGTTGGGAGCCAGAGGCTCAGCCATTTCTCAAAACTGCTGACAGACCTGAGTTGATGACTTTCCATTCTGTCCACCCTCCCCCCACGGGCATGGGAAAGAGCCCACAACCTTGGCTCATAGCCGGGCTGGTAGCCCACGGCCTTGCTCTAGTTATTGTAAATAGCCCTGTTTTCTGTTGATCAGTAGACTCTCGCAGGCATGGGATGGAGCTCGCGGCCTTCGCCTGCGGTCTTGTTTTCTTTTCCAGTAATTGCCTTGCTCTCAGTGGATTCCTCCCTTGGAGTGCACCTGGGTCTTTGCTATCTGGCTGATATGATTCAGTCCAGTCTGTACTTCTTTGTTCTTATTCCTTATTTAACTGTATGCTTGTGCTTCAATAAACAAGACTTGATCAGAGCACTGTCTTGTCTCCATTTCTCTTGCCCCTTGCCTCATCCACATCCCCACTCCCCAATCCAGGTACCCCGTTGTAGACCCCGCAGGCCGGGGCAGGTGTTCTTGAAGAGGACCCAGGTTCAGTTCTCAGCACCCACATGACAGGTGTTTGTAACTCCAGTTCCAGTAGATCTGACACCCTCTTCTGATTTCTGAGGGTACTGTGCACACAGATGCACTTACATACATGCATGTAAAACACTCATACACATAAAATAAAAATAAGTAAATATATAAAAATAAATAACTTTATCACATATGTATATGTATGGGGGGGAAAGGCATGATAGTATATGTGCGGTTTGGTATGATCTGTGTTTTCTGGTATCCAATTGGGTTGTTGGGAAGTATCCCTCTGTGGATAAGAAGAACTACTGTATTTCATTGTATAAAATACAGTAATTCGGGGCTGGAGAGATGGCTCAGCCATTAAGAGCACTGACTGCTCTTGCAGTGGACCCGGGTTTGATTCCCAGCACCCACATGGCGGCTACTAACTGTTCTTAACTCCAGTTCCAGGGGAATCCGAAGCCCTCTTCTGACCTCTGCAGCATTGCATGACATGGGTGCACTCACATACATGCAGGAAATACACTCATACATGTAAAATAAAAATAATAAAATAAAATAAATATTTTCTTAAAAATACAGTAATTCAGGACTCAAGAGGTGGCTCAGCAGGTAAAGCCATTTGCTGCCAAAGCCTGACAACCTAAGTTTTAATCCTTAAGGCACACATAGCAGAAGAGGAGAACTGACTCTTGAAAGTTGTCATCTGACTACACATACACCTTGGCACTACCCCCCCCATAAATGTAACTTTAAATTTAAAGGAAATACAGTAATTCAAATACTCAGTCTACTGTGACTGCTTCCATGCTTCCTTTTTTGTTATTGTTATTAACAATAAAGTTGACATAAACCCTGAGTACTGGCATATTTGTACATGGGAACTATATATATATATATATATAT